CCCCAAAACCCCAAAACCCCAAAACCCCAAAACCCCAAAACCCCAAAACCCCAAAACCCCTCAAACCTTAACGAATATAGATAATAAATATTTTTAGCAGTTACAGATGGACTCTAGTCTCAGAGAAAGCTCAGATATCCCATTCAAAATCGCTAGTAACCTAAATACATACCAGAGCGACACTGATGAAGGTAAGCTTAACTCTTGCTCTAAACTCTTCGGCCAAATGAGTCTTTCAACTAGAATCTCAGAAATTTGGAGAATTTTTAAATTTGACTCAAACATGGGCTACACAAGCATCTAACAAAGTTTTAGAGAAATCTAAATAGCTGCCTTTCAAAAGGAACACTCACTACTAATAGTGACTGAAGTTGGACTAAGGAGTGATTGGAGAAAGACTGAGATTATAGCTTGGAAAATACCCCTACAGGTACCATGAAGCTTGATTTCAGCCAAAAGTCTGGACATATGAACGATAGGCAAAAATTATGCACAAAAGTAGCCCACCTTGTTAATAAATCTAAGAAGAATTCCAGGGATTTTGATGCGATGAAGATTTCTGAAGCTCAGAAGGTGATTATTAACAAATATAATGATACTCTGGGAAGAAACCCTATTGAAGAACACACTGACACAAAATTTGGACAAATCTCCTCTATAAAACAAGGACTAGAAAGGACAACTAGGAATTTAGCCCAGAACAAGAGCGAGAGATCATTCATTGTCAGCCCTCAGTTAAACTCTATTCGGAAGAAATAAGTACAAATCAAAACTAGGGATTAGTAAGTACAAAGCAGGAACACCAAACAGTGAGGATAAGTTCAAATCTGTAGGGATTTTCTGCCAAACTAACTTTATCAACAAGGAGAATTTCTCTACGATGAGACGAATCAGGAAGAACCTTTTCAAGGATGATGCTAAATTACTAAAGAAGCAGAATTTATCACAAGGACAAATAGTCAAGTTTAATATAGTCGATCCCTCTAATAAGCAACCAAGCGTTTATAAGCTAAATCAGAGCAGTATCGATAGTTGAGATTCTGAAGGCCTCGATTCAGCCTTTGATAGGAACAACTTCAATCGACCCAGCATGAGCTCCTTTAGAGAAAACGAGATTTGTGAGAAGAAAGAAAACCATACTGTAGGAATTGATATGAACAGAAGTCTCAGGAAGAAATCACCTAAGGAGTGAAGTAGCTTTATGGCCTCAATAAGGAGCGCTAAGTTTTTACCTCCTAAGGAGGAGAATTATGAGAGCATTGAGAGTATCTACCTAAATGAGAATTCAGGAAAAGTGAACCCTCAGGGTTATGCTTTTGATACTATACTTCCCAAGCAGGGATTAAGCAAGTACCAAAGTGTCTGAAATACCAATACAAACCTACAAACAGAGATTATTTGAAAAGAGGTCCCTGATCTCATCGACCTTAGTTGAAAAATGGTCGATGCAAAGGAGTATGACAAGCTCAAGGAGGAAAATGAGAGACTTAAGGAAGAAATCGAGAGACTTAAGGAGGAGAAAGAGGAAATCAAGCTTCAGAGAGACTTAAATTATAAACTATTTATGAAAGCTCAGAAGAAAATTTCTTAATAAACTATTCAAATATAATTGATTTATTTTCTTCAAGAATCTCTCTTGGCACTTTCTGGAATCTTGCTGCTTCAGGGTTAAATTCAGGCGTCTCAATGAATTGGAGGAAAAGATTCGCAAGTCTTTTTCTGAGCCCTTCTAAACTTGCTTCACTTCTTCCTCTATTGAGCATGTCTGCTTCTCTATCTATCAAGTCGACAATATCTCTTGTGAGAGCTCAGTCAAATTCTCTAACTGTCCATTTGGTATGAAGCAACACATCCAGTCTTTCATCTATACTCAGGTAGGGTAATTTCAGACCATTATAGAGGTCCATGAGTTCTTTAGCTCTTGTCGTGAAAGGAGTGTGAACTTCAGTCATTCTCTCATCACTTCTCTTCCAATGCTTAGGATCGCTCATGGCTTTAAGGAACTTGTTAATCTTTTCCTCTTTGTTTGATACATTGGCTGTAATTTTGAGTCTGTCAATCTGTTGTAAAATCTTAGTCTCTTTATACAGAAGTTGCTGTAAAGCAAGCTTTTTCTCTTCCTCCTTCAGCTCAGTAGATGCTTTGATTTTCTTGGTTTCTCCAAGTCTCCAGGTTTCAAGTTCTTCATAGAGAATTTCGAAGTCCTTCTCCTTTTTAGGATGCATTCTTCTCTCGATTTCCTGCTTGTGGTTTTCTTCTTCCTTCTTTCTAAATTCTTCTTGCTTTCTTAATAACTCAAGGTCACTGTCATTTCTTTTCTTTCTGAGTTCAGCTGCTTTTCTTCTAGCGAACCATCCTCTGATCATGCACTGGATGTAGAGGGTTCTGTCCCATCTAAGCTTCTTCCATTGGTCAGATGAAAAGTAAGGCTTTGGCTTGATTACTTTGTCCTTCCTGGCATCGATGAAGATGCCGGGCTTCTCCATCTGGGTTCCGAATTCTCTCATCATCACTGAACTTTTAGTGTCATATTGATATGTTTGAACCTCTCTTGTCAATTTCTGTGGATGATAAGTTGATTGCTGATCAGTCTGTGTGAAAGCATGATAGTACTTAATCTCATTCCTCCTGTTAAGGAGCCCGCCGATATAGGGTTTTTCCTTCTGAGCCTTTTCAACTTCAACAGTAACCATCTTGATCTGATTGTCTGCGAGCTTAATCTCCACGTCGAATACTCCTGGCATTACAAATTCTTCAGTATCAATAGAGTCAAAGAAGTGCTTTTGCTTGCCTTCGATGTCTTTTTCTTCTTCATCATTCATTTGGCGATACCCATCTTGCTCATCTTCCTCACCTGGAGATCTTTCATCTGGAGAACCCATGGGATGTTCGGGACCTGGAGTTTCCTCCATGTCGCCTTCCATATTACCCTCCATATTGTGAGTTGGATCCTGTTCAGGAGAATCAACCGGAGGTTGATCCTCATGATGCTGATCTTCATCTTCAACAGGTGGGTTGTCATCCTCCTGCTGGCCATCATCGTTACCGTCAGGTTGGTCATCAGCGCTTTCAGCTTCTTCTGGATCTTCTCTTTCCTGAGACTTGATTTCTTCTTCCTTCTGGCTCATTTGAATTTTATAATATTTATTTTATTTGAATCAATTTTATTTAGTTATTTTGGGGTTTTGGGGTTTTGGGGTTTTGGGGTTTTGGGGTTTTGGGGTTTTGGGG